CTAACAAGCCTAGCCTGCATCCTAAGACCTACAGCCTCTAAAGCAGGCCAAAGCTTCCAAAGAGCTGTGCCTGTTTTGCCAAAGACCCTCTCAGCAGAGGCCGATGTGCTCCTGCTGTCACCGAGCAGCTTTGCCTGGGTGCCGGGGGTCTTCAATCCGAACTGCGCCGCGCTGCTTGCAAGGAGTCCTGGGCACACTTGGGACTATGGACCCTAAACCCTAAATTCTAGAATGTTGCGGGAGAAAGGGCTAGTGCATTTAACAAAAACCCTCGAATTCTTCGAGTTTGGGGCTGGGCGGTCGGCTGGTACGCACAGGCTGGAGTTGAAGCGGGCTCATGGTTATCATCCTTCATCAGAAAACCTGATAACCGGTTTAGGGTTTAGGGTTTAGGGTTAAGCACCATAGCTGCTAATCATGAGTCCGAGCAGTCAATAGACTTTTTCCCCAACAAGCGGGCCGCTGCCCGCTAAGGGGACATAGAATTTGAACACGGGGCCCATTGCAGAGTGGATCTCTCTTCGCTGTTAAGAGCAGACTCTCTGGGGATCCATGTCAGTTTTGTTTTAGATTTTCTTTACCGACTCCTGTACAGGTGTTCCATGGTGTCCCATCAAGTTTTTTTTTTTTTTTTAAGGGGCATGCTTCGGCTCATTCCTCTTGCCTCTTGCCAGTGTTTGCACATTCCACGGCATTAAAGTTGGGTTTAGGGTTTAGGGTCGTGTTTGAATCATATGACGCAGAGAGGCTGCAGCTAGAGTCCTGTCTGGACAGGTTCTGTAGGGTCCTGTGGCGCTGGATGCCCAAACATATGCAAGAGGGCTTGGAATTCATGCTACCGCATGAATCCATTCCGAGGTGGTCGGGTTCAACCGCTATTACCCCATGGGACATTGGGCTGTCCATCGGGACGGCGACTTCTCCAACTCGGCTTTGTGGCTTGGCTTGTACGGGGCTATGCTTTGCCGTAAGTGCCGAGGTGCCTAAGAATCATAACTGCCCCAAATGAAAAATCGTTAAACCCCAAATCAAACCCTTAACCCTAATAAGAAAAGCTGATTTCCCAACTACTCAGTTGCTACGCTACGTTGGGTGTTTTGGATTCTTAGGGTGATTTTCGTAGGGCTTCAGGCTTACCTATAGGAATCATAATCATAGCACCCCGCCCCAACCTGCATTTGGCCGTTTGAATCCTCATGGTTCAGGATGTGGGGGTTTCCGAAAATAGGGGTTCCCGAAAATAGGGGACCCTAATATAGTACCCTCAATAGTAGGACCC